ACAGGAACATGTGTGGACAGGAACATGTGTGGACAGGAACATGTGTGGACAGGAACACGTGTGGACAGGAACATGTGTGGACAGGAACACGTGTGGACAGGAACATGTGTGGACAGGAACACGTGTGGACAGGAACATGTGTGATCTTACTGCTGGGGATGAAGGTGGTCAGCAGGCAGGCAGAGCCTCCAACAGCTAGGAAGGCCAGCTGAGGGATCTTGCGGGAGCGGTTGAGGGTGAACAGGGTAATGGTGCGTGCTGGCATCTCTACCAAACCGAAGATCATCTGTGTCAGGTAGATGTTCATCCCAAAGTCAGAGATGTTGAGGGACAAGCCGTAGTACACTAGGATGTTGACAAACCTGAAAGATGGAGGGAGAAGACCTTCACCTTAAAGAAAATGTGACTTCTTTGTGTGACCAACACCTGGCAGACCTTTGTGTTGAACATCCAGACTTTTGATTGAAACCAGAGGTCCAGGAGGCCTAAAGGTCAAAGCTTGAGCAACCAGGACATGGAAAAAGAAGAGCTTTCAGATGGTCACATTAGCAGATCAGARCGCGCCACCATAACGCTCTGTGTCTAATAGTAATAAATACATGGCTGTGATGTGGTGAAAGGTCAGTTTCACTAATAAAAACATTATCCATCGTGCATATTATAGCAAACATTTCAGTTTACAAACATTCTAGTACCTGTGACATTAAAATTTTATATACGTTAAAATGCATTTTTGGAAAGATAACACTAATAAAATGTAAAAACAAAATCACACTGCTGAGATGAACAGTTGAGATATTCTCATGTGAAGTWACWGGAAGTGATGCCAAATGTAAATGTTTGCATGTGAACAGACTGTAGAGGAGGTCTAACGTTTCTGTAGATTTGTTTTGAGTCTCTCTCAGAGCAAAAAGAGAGTCACAGTTCAAAAAATATGGTTTCAATAAACAAAGACCAGAGTTTTCGTTCTTAAAGTGTTTCCTATTTGATGTCACTTCCTGTTTCACTTTGAGCCAAGTTAAAAAAAAATATGACAGRTAYGTAACAAAATGTGTAAAATCATGAGATGTGTGGAATATATTGAATTTCCTAAATGAAAATGTTTGGACTTTTTGTATTTAAGTATCTGTYACAGGAACTTTAAAGTGCAGATACCAGCTGTGAAGACTTCACCTGTGGACCACCAGCCTCTCACACACTTATGTGTCATCAGAGGAGTGGCCTTCATGAGGACCACGCAGGAGTTATTCAGTTAAAATTAGTTTTAATTTAAAAAAAAAAAACAGATTCAAGGTCGAGACACAGACTGAGGACATGTTCTGTCCTAAACATTTATAAAGTAAAAGCATGGACGACATCTCGTGGACTGTCTGATACATGGACAGAGGACAGCTTCCAWTCTTGTGGACAAAGTTTGGACATTTATTTCTTACTGGGATGTCAAACTGGAGCAAAGACAATGTCTCAACAAAGAGGTCTCCTCTGACCTCTGATCCTGTGAACAGGAAGTCATTGGGATCATTTTTGACCCATGATGTGTCCAGATGTGCAGTCTGACATGTCTCTGTTAAAATGTTTTTCATGTAGACCTCAGACAGACTGACAGAGGGCACCATCCTACAATATTCTCATCTCAGTATGGACGTACCAAAAAAATAAAAAAAACTGAAGAAAGAAAAGACAGAAACGTTGCATCACTTCCTCTTTTGTTTCAGCAGCTATAGTACCCTTCTTAATCACAGTATACTAAATACTTCACATTGTAATTCACACAAATAATCAGATAATACTTCACATAAAGCTTCTCACTTTAATAAATTAAAGACCTAATAATGTCTTTAATTGTTAAATGGTAAAATCTGAAGTAAAGATATTTTGTTAAACATACTGAGGGTCAGTTTCAACTTTTATCACATCAAAGTTTAAAGGTAAATTTTGTGTTTTTAATCTTAAATAAGGAAGGAAACAAATTCCCTTTAGATGTACACCCATCTTTTTCTGAAAGTTTGAATAAAAGTGAAGCTATAAGTTATTTTGCTAACAACCAGACAGAGCTGACTTGGATTTTTGATTCTTGTCACAAAGCGGTGAGCAGATGTTTGCAGCTGGAAGAAGGCTGATACTTTCCCCTTACTGTACTGCACCATTCAATCCAACAAATAACAAAATCAACACAACCTAAAGTAAACAAACACTAAGAGTTTGGGGGATAATATTCAAGGGGATGACTGATAAGTAATTATAGACGTATAATTTATTGAGWTAAAACAAAGCTCGTGTTTTTACGAGTCTAGAAGAAAACATTTTCTCTGGACTGAACACCCCCGCTGCAAAAACAACCAGGACTCTGAGAGCAAGAAGAACAGCTGTTTACAGAGCCCAGGTAGCAAAYAATTTTAATTTAATGTTGAATTATGATCCAAAATGTTGATTTTTGGTTATAGTTGATGATTGATGGTGAATCAACCATCAAACAATCATCCAATTCAGGTCAAATGACCAACGTTGAAAAGTTGTTATTGTTTCATGATCGAATTCTAATGATTGAAATTCCAATGTCTAATTAATGTTGAATCAACTGTCACATCCTGTCTGGTTCCACCCATGTTTATTGCTTGCCTGTCACTCACAGCCTGTTCCACAGCTCCTTCTCTCCACGCCTCCCAGTTCAATGCCAGATCAGCTGTTCCATGCCCTATTTAAGCTCTCTACACTCACCAGACCAGTGCCAGATTATTGAGTGGTTCATCCAGTAGATGGCCAGCATTTCTCTCATTTCCATGCCTGATTGCTCATGAATRACCACCTGCCTATTGCTTGACCCTCAACTCTTGCCTGATCCCTGCCTGGTACCTCTGCTAACTTTGATTGAACGCTGGTTTTTGACCTCGTTTCTGCCAACTGGACATCGCCTACTGGCTCGTGTTTTGGATTTGTTACCGGCTCTCTGAAACCCCAGCTCTGACCTTTGACCGACTTCTTGACGCCTGAACTTAGCCTTTTCCATTGCCTGGATTTCTCCTAACACATCACCAGATCTGCATTGCCCTTACACGTTGAGACTCCTCCTATTGTCAGACGGTCAGTAGCTGATTGTTTGCCAAGTGAAAATTCTTCATTAACCCATCACTCATCAATGCATTGCTCCTCATAGTGTGCCATCCCGAGGGTCCGGCAATCCTCCAGTTTTCGGGTTATTATGTCATCATGTCATTATGTTATGTCATGTTATTATGTCATCATGTCATTATGT